CTGCGGGCTGTACAGGGACGTGGGACCTCGGTCCTGCTGGCTGGAAACCGACTGTCAGAAGAGCACTTTTAAGTGTTTGTCCAGAACTCGAAAATTCCCCACACGAATCGTGTAATAGGAGCCTGTGGGTATTGCATGGATGTGAGTGTTGCCATATAGATTAAAACATATGTCTCTGGTATAAAAAACACATGTATCTTTTGCGATAATCACAGAACGGTTTGGGTTGGAAGGGACCTTACGGATCATCTAGTTCCAACAACTCTGCCATGGGGACCCCTTCCACTAGACCAGGTTGCTCCAAGCCCCATCCAACCTGGCCTTGAACACTGCCAGGGATGGGGCAGCCACAGCTTCTCTGGGCAACCTGTGCCAGTGCCTCGCCACCCTCACAGGGAAGAGTTTCATTTTAATGTCTGCCCTCTTCCAGTTTAAAGCCATTCCCTCTTGTCCTGTCACTACATGCCCTTGTAAAAAGTTCCTCTCCAGATTTCTTGTAGGCCCTCTAAGTACTGGAATGCTGGTATAAGGTCTCCCCAGAGCTACCTTTCCTCTTCTCCATGCTGAACAAGCCAGAATCTCTCACGCTGTCTTCATAGGACAGGTGTTCCAGCCCCCAGATCACCTTTGTGGCCTCCTCTGTACTCGCTCCAACAGCTCCGTATCCGTCTTGTGTTGGGGACCCCAGAGCTGAATGCAGTACTCCAGGTCAGGGTCGCACAAGAGCAGAGTAGAATCTGGCAAATAGGAATGACAAAAATCAGGAGAACCAGCGTGATGATTTGATCAATCTCCTCGGCAAAAGAAAGGAAATCTGTGTGTGCATCCTTTTAATCATTTACTTTAAGGACTTTACTTTTGCTATCTCGTCTCCACTTACAGTAAAAGCAGTTAAACTGTGGCAGGATCCTTTTGGAAAGATCAGATATATCAGTCAATAGTTGAGGCTCCTGTCCTTTATTTCTAAACACACTTTAAAATATTTTACTAATGGTTAAAAATTAAACATTAGTCTAACAACTGACATTCAAAAGAATCCCAGCCAGAGGAAGTTGCCTACAAAGAAAGATCAAATTTCATCATGCGAATGGTCCCAGTTTTCTTGCTTTTCTTGACTCTCTTTTGTTTTTGTGGATCGGAGGTAAGAATTTGTTTTATTTCGTAGCAGTAACTCATTTTATTTTATTTTATTTTTTACTTTCAAAAGCAATTTATAGTTATAAAGCAAAACCACTTGGGTTTTTTTAGGTTCCTTTCATGGTGTTTGTTTTTCATACATTTGTTATAGCCCAGCTTGAACGTTTGAAGTTTGTGATTTCTCTTCCATGTATTTATTCTGTCTGGCGTTTATGCTAACAGGCTTCTGAAAGAGATTTGAATCACTATCCTATCCTAAACCCAATTTGCAAGCATGGTTAACCCCAGGATAGTGCTTCAATTTCCCCTGCCCCCCTTTTTTGAAAAATGAGATTACGGTCTCCTAACATGGCAGCACTGTACTGCCTGGAGGTTTGCTACAAACCACTTCTGGCAGAAGCATCCCAGAAAGCCCACCTGGGTTTCAAGCATTCAGCATGGCCCACACCTTTTAGAGAAATCCTTAGATAAAAATCAGAACCTTTTGTCCCTATTCATTAGAAATGACTAGCACAAAATGGGAGTTATGCCAAGCCAGATCTGGCTCACACTTTGTATTCCACTGACCTGAGAAAAACAGGAAGAATTTAGTAAGATTATACAACCGTTAAAAGGGGTTTTGTTGGATTAAATTCTGCCCCAACAACATCTCCACTGACTTTACTATGGCCAGGATTTCTTCAGAACTTTAAACTTCAGCTCTATTAATTCAGTTGACACAATTCAAAGCTGATAAATTAAAAAATTTCAGGACTAACTTTTCTCTCCCATTTTTATACAAAGTCCATCCCTATATATTTTTCATATTTCAGCATTTGTCCTAGCCATAGATCTGAGTAAGCACAAGCAACTAGCCAGCAATGAAGTCGCCAGAGAGCTGCACCATGGTGGGTGCAGTCACTCACCTAGGTCAGTTGGATGGAGGGTCAGAATCTTGCAGTTCAATGATAACCAGCAATTGCATTGCAAATCCACTGCTCTGCAAGATACAGGGGAAGGGATATTAAGGAAAGGCACTTAATTTTCAAATTCCTTTAAGATACTTGTTGCTTCAGCAGTCACACAGTGAAACAAGTCATTAACTTTAGATTTCTTCACTCGCTTCTAAGTAGTTTATAACTATTTACAGGTGATACTTAAACTCAAAGCCAACCAAGCCAATAAAAGAGTCTCAGAAAAAAATAAGTTGCCATTTTTTTTATTATTCTGGCTTTTAAGTCCCCTTATATTACGATTTGGTTACAATCCCATTGCTGTGGCTTAAAAAATATTTATAACCTGCTGGGCACTTCAGCTGATGTTTGAAGTTCAAAGAGTACAAAGTTTATGGGAGATCTGTAGGAGTGAAGATCACACCAGGTGCATCATCCAAAGCTGAGAAAGCTGAGGTGGCCGAAGACAAGGAAATACACTATAAATGATATTTAGCACCTTTGTGCTTGTAAGTGAGGAGAAGGCTTATGAATGAATACTTTGTTGAGGTCAGTAAAGCGATCTGCAGAACTCTTTGTGCAATTCCTAATCTTACTCCCTTTTTCCTGATTATTTTGTGCCTTGCAGAATGCAGCTTCTAATGCTGAAGAAAACCAGTTTCAGCAGGCTGAGCCTGCCCAGCCAGCTGAGCAAGACACGTACCTCATAGGAGAATGCTTAAGCAACCAATACACACACAAGTCCTGTGAGAAAGTTTTTTGTCACCCATGGGAACGATGTGTGGAGGGAAAATGCCTTTGTAAGCTTCCCTACCAGTGCCCAAAGAATGGCTCTTCAGTTTGTTCTACCAATGGAAAGTACTTCCACACTTACTGTCAGCTAAAGAGCTACGAGTGTCAACGTCCTGAAGCAAAGTTTCTGCACAAGGGAAAATGCACATCCGAAGGTATTAACACCTCCTCTCCCAAAACTTATCAGTCAGTCATCCATGGCCAAGGATGTGCTTTCCTTGCCCTAGTAAGAACACAAAAAGAGGAGTCACTGAAAATGGGCAGTACCTGTTGATTTTCATCAAAATGTGCATGACATTGTTAACAACACTTGACAAGGCCCAGGTCATGCTGCTGCTGGTAGGTTGCTCAAATCATCAGGTAGAAAGGGAAGAAATACACAGGAAAGAACTCAAAGGTTTTCACGCAGCATGTTGACTCTGGTGGGAGATCCAGTGCGAGAAGGCCTACTGAGAACATTAGCAGAGAGAGTATCTTGGAGACCTCAAAGGAGCTATAGTCCGAGGAACAGAGTCAAGCTGTTGAAATGTGGGGGGGGAGTGCATGGAGAGAAGATGAGCCATATTCACCTCTATCATCTTCATGCTGTGGATTTCATCAAAACAGAAAGCTATTGCCCTGCAAACCACAGTTTGTGCAGTGACAAGCAGCTGTTCTAACCTCCTTTTCCAGCTGCACCAGGCTTCTGTGTCAGATCAACCTCCTAAGTGCACGGAGAAACAGCTCCTGCTAATAGGCAGGTGGGCTCTTTTAGCAGTAGCAGCTGCTCTTCCTACCTGTCCTCTGGCCTCTATGCCACTGAACGCAGCAGGAGCAGCGTGGCCAGCCCAGGGTTCTCCTGCTCAGTCTCTGCCCCAGTACCATCACTCCGTTTCCCCACAGAAGCAGCAGCTCAGCCCACCGCCCTCAGGGTGGCAAAATTCTATTCTGCCTATTCCACTGAAAAGGATGAGAGTCTCCGTGTGTTCCTGGTGTGCTCTCTATATGGCTTCACTAAGTTAAGCTGAGTAGCTTAGCTCAACTGTGAACAGCGGAAGTTTTGCTACACAGGTAACAGAAGCGGGATCTGGCCATCTTACTTGAAGTGTTAATGGCTGGTTATCAAAAGTCCTCTAATGAAAATCATTATACCAAGACACAGCTTTTCCTCAGTAGAAGACCTCCAAGTACTGTTACATGGTAGGAACTGTTACCCTTATCTGTCCTGAAACTGGTACACTTTGAAAAAGTGGCAGTCTCAAAGCCACAAAGTCAGTCCTCAGAATAATGCCTGAAGCTTCTGACTGTCACTCTACTCTCCATATGAACTTGGTTGTCAATACAAAATCAGTTCTTATTTGTTTCTGGGCTGTCTTTCCACTAGAGACATCTATATCATATGATTTTATTTGTGGATTTTTTTCATTTCTCTTTGTTCTTTAGAAACATTTTCAATATCTTTGGGCCATGGAGATTCAAGTTTGCTTCGAGTAAAACCTGTGAATCAAAAGAATGACTTTCTTGTATGCGATAGTGAGTGGACTATGAATGAAGCAAATGTGGCTTGCAAACACCTTGGCTTTGAATTGTAAGTTGGGGGAATTTATCTCTGGATAACTGCAAGGGATCCGGAAAAGTAGTGATGCATATGTAAGTGTCAGGCACAGTCAGCCAACAGTTAAAGCAGAAAACTCATGAACAATGTATTGGCTGATAAAGCTTCTCAAATCAACACCTGAGAGTGAAATCGAAAACAGATTTCTGTGTTCTATTGCAAGTATACAGACCATAATTGTTTTATTTTGAAATAAAGCAGAAGACCAATGCAGAGGTTTCATCTCTGGTCCGTGTAATGGAAAGTGTGCAGATGGACCATCACCAAATAGCTCTGAGCAATGATCTGTATGCAGAGAAAAGTTTCCTACACTAGCTGACACAAGGGTGCAGCTCTGCTTTGCCATTTGCACCAGCCAGACTAACAAGAATCACAACACGACTTTTTGATTCACCCCTTGCCCCTGCTGCCATTGCTTGCTTTGTCCCCAAGGATGGCTGAAGCCACACAGAGCTTGTTGGTTTTCCTGCAACCACACTGATGGCCTGGGTTGCACATACAGCTCCTTATTAACAGTCAAGTCTGTATCTTGTACATAATAATTTTTCACTAATGTGGTCAGGTAGGGCTGCCTCCCCAGCCCTACCTGAATACTAAAAACGCTATTGCAGTGCCCTAATTGTCCCCTCTAGGTGAGAAGCAAGTATTTCCTAGTCCTGATCAGTATCTCTTTAAATAGCAGAGAAGGGTTTATCCTGGGACAGAGCATTCAGTCCTGGGGTCCCATTGCAAGCTTCTCTAGTTTTCTACTCAGTCCATATTTCTTTAAAGTGGGGGACACAGACACTGTTAAGAGGATACCACTCACGTAAAAACAAGGGAGATAAAATGTATTAATCCCAGCCTTGCAGTGGCCTGAGCTTCCTCAATACGTGCAGTGAACAATTCATTGTGAAATGATATAATTTGCTATTATTACTTTTATCTTCACAGAGGTGCTGAATATTACCAAGCCAATTCCAGCATCACAGAATCTGCTTTAAATTCATTGCACTGCCTGCAGATAACTTGCAGGGGCCTAGAGACAAGTCTTGCTGAATGTCACACAGAGGTGAAATCAAGAGATAGTAATGAGGGATTGGTTAGCCTCCAGTGCCATGAACATCTCAGAGGTCAGTAGTTTTTTTAGTTTTACAGCTATTCGGAGTTCTTACATTTTAAGTTTAAATAACGAGGACCTAGTTTGCTGAACTCTCAGCCACAGCAAACCTGCACTGAAACCCTTTGATTTTTTTTAGATCATCCTTTTGCAGACTTTAACACAACTGAGGCAGTCTTGAGTCAAGACAGTTTTGAGTTTGGAAAATCACTGTTACTCCTGAAGTATTTTTACAGATACTTCCCCAAAGTAAATGTATTTCATCCATGGTTCTGTTTGTTCCTTCAGTCCTCTAAGAATACCAAGGCATATTGTATCCCGCAAGTCTTACCTCTCTTGGGTTACTCCTCATACTCACTGCTTAGTCTATGAGGGAGAACAGTTAGGACACTAGTAGCACTGAAGGCAGACAAACGTGACTGTAGTGGAACTGCTTGTGTCTTCTGGGGAGTTTCAGGACTTCCCAGTTTCTCACTGACATAAGGGGAATCAAGTCATTGGCTTGACTTCTGACAGCTTTCTATTCTCTGTAGTGGGCTTTCTTTAGCACTAAGCATCAGCCTGAGATGCTGCTGGTAAGGAGAGCTACGAATCATCTCAGGTTTTATCTTGTGCCACAAAAGTAGGAGTTCAAGAACTCTTGATGACTTCCTTCTAGAGGGGGAACATCCATCATCTTAATCACTTGAATCATTTACAGTGGATTTGAACCAGTCATTTCTGGTTTAGTCCTTGTCTAGAAGAAATGAAGTTCCCTTTTGCCAGGCTGCTGCATACTGGAGGAGGAAAATGAGTGGTCACATCGAGCACTTCATGAGAAGCAATTAACACAATAAGAAAGATTCCTATTTACATTGCTGGGCCCCAGTATGCCTACTGTTTGGCCTAGGCCAAACTGCTGAAAGAACAAAATGAGCAAGCAGAATATTTCCCTGGACAATTACGAACCAATAGACATTTCCACACTAACTTCATTTCCATCGTGCTTCACAGCTTGTTCAGATAGTGAGTTTCATTGTGTCAACAAGAAGTGCATTTCTCTGGACAAAACCTGTGATGGAATCAATGACTGTGGAGACCTAAGTGATGAACTGTGCTGCAGAGGTAATAATTTCCTTTCTCAGGTATTTCAAAATAATTTCAGCAGAAAACCACCCCCAAAGAATTTTTACAGTGATGTAACAGTGAAAGTCTCTTCTCCAATTAGTCACTACATTGGACTTTAATACCATAATTTATGTGTACATAGGTGAAAAACCGTAAGCATAATATACTTTTTTGAAGCAGGCAAGTGGTCTCTGAGAATCTGGATCTCCTTGGGGGATGAGGAAATACAATGAGATTATTTAGGAGGTTGTTAAACATTAGTACAAAAAAATTACTTGTGTTAGAATGAAAATGTATTTTTAGCTGAGAAAAATCAGTAGTAATTAAACAAAGACACTGTTTTTCCAATGAACTATCTTTAAAGCAAAGTAAGATGTCTCTTAACTTTATTAATGCGTGTTTATCCATAGAATATCTGTAAACAGTTCCTGTCACATGGCTTGTTCATGAGCAGTCATTCTTTCAGCATCTCCAATTCCAGCTGTAATAGTTTTGATTAGAACCATAGAATGGATCTAGCATGACTTGAATGCAGAAGAACACTTTCAGAAGTTGGGGTTTGGGTGCAAAATGATAATGTGGGTTACAAATCCTATCACTACTCCTAAAGAACCTAAATTTTGTAGTTTTACAATTGTCAATAAATTTAACCCAAAAATCATGGGAACACAGTCATACGCATTTTAGAAAAAAGAAAATAAAAAAAATAAAGAATACCTGTGGCTTCATATATTTAGAGAACATTTATGCAGATTCCACCTGACCAAAATAGTTTTGTTTCAGCTGCATGGGCTGAAAACAATGTTTCCTGGAATCAAAAGAAGTATTTCAACTAAGATGAATGGTCTTCAGATCATATGGGGATATAGGGTTACTTTTAGAGAGCTGTCTTATTTTTTACTGAAGAATATATCCTTAAATAGTAGATTGACATAAAATTATAAAGTAGCTTAAAAAAAAAACTTGCAATAAATTCAAGCACTGCTTTCCTTTTGATAACATATGAGGTGATCATAAGAATTTAAAGGAGTTCTCAGGTTTAAAATAACATTTATAATTGAGAATTTTAGAAGAACTAAGTTATTACATCCAGTATCTTCAAAATAGGACTCTTAATTCCTAACCCTGCACCTAGCTCATTCAACCAAAAGCCAGCTTGGACTCTAATTTGGGAGGGGAAAATTTGACCCAAGCATCATAAATTTCTCACTTGAGATAATTAGTAATGCTGCCAAAACTGGAGGTCCTTTGGCTGAGGTTGAGCATGGGCATGTGTTGTGGATGAAGACGGTAAGGAGTGATTCCAAGTTTAGAAGTACAAAACTGAACTGGTAACAGCTCCGCATTTTTGAAGCCTTAAAACTTCGAGATTATAAACTGAGGAGATCCAAGTATTCATTTTGTTTTACACTTACAGAGCCTGCTTTTATGTTCTATCTATGAACAGCCAAGTCCCCCCTAACAGGGATATTATATTGTGTTTACATTTTAAAAAGCTCTGTAACTATGTAAGGTTGCTGTGTTCTATCATCCCATGATTTACATTTGTAATTCTGTCTTACAGAGTGCAGAGGCAACAGTTTCCACTGTCGGTCAGATATCTGTATTCCAGATAAGAATATCTGCAACAAAGAAATTGACTGCCTCACAGGAGAGGATGAAGCTCGAGTTCTCTGTGCAGGTTTCCTTCTGAAAGATGCTTTTGTTTCTTCTCTCTCACTCTGCTCAATGATAACTAGAGACTTCACAATGCATATTATTAATTTAACAGATTAGCAAAACCAAATGCATGCAAGAATTAGTCTTCCCGATGTTATGTTATGCGTAGTAAGAAGAAAAGGTGGTGTAGTTTTCCTCCCTTTCCTTATAGAAAAGAATAGCAAGAAAAGGAAAGGATGGAAGAAACAGGTGATGTTTTATGAGGTTTAAGGCAGATTATGTCTTTTGGTTATGTGGCCATCTATCAAACTGGCATCCTGTATTTGTGAAGAAAGCATAGACAAGACAGGCAGGAATATTTTCCTCACAGATGAAGAATTCAGCTAGTTTGTCATTATAATGATTCTTCACGGCTGTTCCCCTCACTGTTGAAAAGATTTTGTTTTGGTTTGAAATCAGAATGTTTTTCCTTGCTCTGATAAGAGACAAAGTCTAAAGCCAAAATGTAAACACTGTTGGTAAAGGTAAACTGAACTCTAAATGTAAACATTACAACCAGTAATATGAGAACAGACCCAACCCTCAACTTCCATTTAGAAACTGAATTCAATGGGCATTTTGTTTGAATAAAAGCTGACAAACCAGATTCAGGAAGCATTTAATTTACCTCTCACATTGAATACCCTCCCCTACCCTGTTAAAGGAGGCACACAGGATACAACAGCATCATC